GGAGAGGGGAATTAGGCTCCACCCTTTGAAAGGAGGAGTATTAAAGATTTTGTCAACACATCTTAAAATCACTTTGGGTCTCCAGGATCTTAATACTGCACTGGAACTCGCCTAGGAAAGTACAATGGGGATTCCCTCTGCCCTAGATCCTCCAAAGCTCTCTGTGGCTTTATGTCAGGGTCCCCTCCATCCCCAGGACTCAGCTCAGGGAGCCAGGATTAAGAGCCCATTTGCAGGAAGCAGACGGGTGTCTGAGCACTCCGCTCTCCTCCTGGCTCTCCCCAAACCCCGGGTCAGAGAACTTTCCCTGGTCTGGGGATGGGATAGCCTGACCCATCCTCTCTTCTTCCCAACCTATCATTTACAGCATAATTGTGCCCTCCCAGACTTTTGAAACTCAAACCCTAGGCTTCTGTAACCCAAAGCATTTCTTTCTGCTTTTCTGTGGTATCTCTCCTCCCCTGAGGCAGTAAATGTCACCGAGTAAGAGGCCAAGGGGAAAGGGAATGGATGGGGGTGGATGCCACCTCTCAAAATGCTCTCCGGCCACACCCCTATTCATAGATGTCTCCCTTTTGGGGACACTTGCTTCTGGCTTTTGCACTGGGCAATCTCACATCCACTTTGGATGGCCCCATTAGCTCCGGCCCCCCCAGTGCCTGGCTTCCTCCTCTCCAGGAAGAGACACCCCCCTCCCACTTCAGAATCTTACCACCAGATGGGGAGTCTCGCCCTTGAGGTAGAAGTCCTCCCCCAAACTCATCCTTGTCTGGAAGGAACCTAAGATTCTGTCACCCCCTTCTCTCTCCCTCATAGCCCCAAATCCACTGGGCTCACCCAGTCACCTGCCGCCCTGCTCTTCCGGTGTATCTGCTCCTCCCAGATCTCCACAAGCCCTTTACCTTTCATTTTTCCCCCACGTGTGTTTTGGAGCAGTGCCATAGTGTCTTAGTGACGACATCCTGGCTCATATTTAAGTCACCTTAGTACTCACTGCAACTCACTACAACCATCTGTGTAATAAAGAACAGGCACCCAGGCGGTTCAGTGGGTTAAGCGTCTGACCCTTGACTTTAGCTCAGGTCTTGATCTCAGGGTCATGAGTTCTGGCCTTTGCCTGCGGTTCCTGAGGGGTGATCTGGAAGCCCTTGCAATATCATGCCTGGTAAGGATGTCTTTGTTTTCCTGGGAGCCTTGGCCACACCAGACACTCTAACAATGTGACCGATCACGAGGGCTTTGGGCTGCTCAGTGTCAGCTTGACACTGGATGGGCTGGAGACTAAAGGTCAAGGACACGGGTGACCGCCATGTCTATGTGATGGAACCCCTATAAAACTCTGCACACAAGGCTTGGGGGAGCTCCTCTGGTTGGCAATATCCTGAACGTGTTGTCACCCTACATCATTGCTGGGAGAAGTGCAAGCTGTCCACAACTTCACTGGGAAGGGACAGCTGGAGGCTCTGAGTGTAGAACCCTCCTGGACTCTTCCCTTGGCAGATTTTTCGTCTCTATCCTGTCACCATAATAAACTGTAACCATGAGTGTAACGGCCCTCAGAGAATTCCATGAGTTCTTCTAGTGAATTATCCAACCTTGGGGACCCCTGAACTTTGCAGCATCTACCCATTGACTCAAGCTCCTGGCTCCGAGGCACGTGTCTCCACCTTCCAAGTTCCTTCCTAGCCTTCCTTCTCTGACCTCTCTGTCACCTTTGACACTTTTTTTTAAAAAGATCTTATTTTTAAGTAATCGCTACACCCAATGTGGGGCTTGAACTTCCAACCCTGAAATCAAGAGTCACATGCTCTACTGACTGAACCAGCCAGGCGCCCTAGTCGTTTCTATTGACCCCCTTTCTTCCCGCAATGCTCTCCTGACTGGACTCTGATGACATTGAAATCCTCTGGCCTTCCTTCTGCTTCTCAGTCTCTACTTCATTTCCTCAGTTGGCTTTGGCTGCTTGTCCTTGACCATCTCTTGTGGCTGCTTGTCACTTGCCTGAGTGACAACTAAAAACAGTGGAGCTAAAGCTCGGACCCAGACCCCTGTCATTGCAAATCCCTGTGTTTTGCTTGCTCCTTTAGGCATCCCAGCCTGTGTGAATAACTTATAGCCAGGTAAACTTTTCAAAATGTGTACTTGGTGTGTTCTAGATATAGATCCTTTGTTGGATAAATGTTTTACAAGTATTTTGTCCTACCACATCACTTACCCCAAGTTTCTGTCTGGAGTCCTTCTCTCCTCTCATTCAGGCATGGAGTTTCCCTGTTATCTCTAAGAGGGTGACCCCCACTTACATCTACAGCTATGACTACATCTATTAACATGGTCCTCCTGATGTTCCAATAGCCCAATGGACATCTCCATGTGGCATTTGAACCTCAGCATGTCCACAAATGAACTCATCATCTTTCCTCAAAGTACTCCTCATTTTGGTCAATGGCATTATTTTGCTCGTGCAGAATGAGATGGGCTTGCCCTGCAGGCGCTTGACCCTGGTCCGTCCCTGGGGTCCATCCAGGGCTGACTCACCATCTTGGTTTGCAGGCTGCCTGTCTGGCTTTGGCTTGGTTCCTGTCTCCCTGGCTCCCGATTTGATGCAGCCCCTGGCTCCCGTGTCAGGTGCTGCCTTAGCTCCTGACTCAACCAGGATAGGCGCCCAATTCCGGCTTACCTACCCTGGTCGGGTGTGGGGCACCCCAGACCACTCCTGGCAGGTTCCTGCTCCCCCCTGTTGGTTATCACCCTTCCCTCCAAGCATCGGTGATCCCCTACACACACAGACAAACAGACACAGACACAGACACACATACTTAATGCTTCGAGTACGGGCATGAACATTCCAAGATCTTGAGCATCTGACTCTTGGTTTCGGCTCAGCTCGGGATCCAGCACCTGTGTGGAGTCTGCTTGGGATTCTCCCTCCCTTTTTCCCCCTGCCTCTCTCCACGCCCCAGGTTCTCTTTCTTGTTCTTTCTCTCAAATAAATAAAATCTTTAAAAAAAATAATTTTGCATAAGCAGGATCCTATTCTTGTTTCAGCCCCCAAATATCTGAAGAAACCCTCATACCTCTATTCTAGTACTTACCTCCTTGGGTAGAATATGCTTTTTTTTTTTTTTTTTTTTTTTAGAACATGTGAATCCATGATCGAACAGTAAACTTTTAACCTTATTGGTACTGTGCCTCCTCCAGAGTAGGAACTTAGCAAATGTCTGCTGGGTGAATGAAAGCTTGTTTTTTTACTCTTCCTGCTTTACATTTGGGGACATTAAGTAACTTGCCCAAGAAGCCATGATTCAAGGGCAGTGGAACAGAAGCTCAGGCTCTGATCCCTGTCGCTAAATCCCCTAGTGGTCCCTACACCGTGCTTTTGTGCCTGAGTCATCATGATCTGTGTGAACAATTTAAAACCCAAATCACGTTAAACTTTAAAAATGTATACCTGGAAAATTCTAGGTACAGCCCTTTGTTGAGTGAATGTTTTGGAAATACCTTTACCCCTCCTATGTCCTCCTTTTCATTTTTTTTTTAAGATTTTATTTCTTTATTTGACAGAGAGAGGCACAGCGAGAGAGGGAACACAAGCAGGGGGAGTGGGAGAGGGAGAAGCAGGCTTCCCGCCGAGCAGGGAGCCAGATGCGGGGCTTGATCCCAGGACCCTGGGATCGTGACCTGAGCCGAAGGCAGATGCTTAACGACTGAGCCACCCAGGCGCCCCTCCTTTTCATTTTTGTAGGGGTCTTTTGAAGGACACGAGTATTAAATTGGGATGAAATTCTATTTATTGATTTTTTTCCTTTTATACTTCACGCTTTTAAGTAACCTTTGCCAAACCTAATGTCCCTAAGATTTTTCTCTTATTTTCCTTTATAAGTTGTCTCCTCTTCATTTTTACACTTAGGTCTGTGATCCATCTTGAGTTAATTTATATTTATGGTGTGAAGAAAGGATTGAGGTTCCTTTTTATATATATACATATATTTTTAAAGATTTATTTATTTATTGGGGGGGAAGGGCAGGGAAAGGGAGAATCTCAAGTAGACTCTGTGCTGAGTGGGAAGCCCGTCTCAGGGCTTGATCTCGTGACCCATGAGATCATGAGCAGAGCCAAAACTAAGAGTCAGACAACCAACCAACTAAGCCACCCAGGAGGTCCGAGGTTCCTTTTTAAATATTATCTTATTTTTTAATCATTATTTTTGCATATGGCTATCCAATTGTTTGAGCACCACTTGTTAAAAAGATTATCTTTCTTCCATTGAACTTCCCTGCACCTTGGTGGAAAATCAACTGACATATATGTGTGGGCCTATTTCTGGACTCTTTAATCTGTTCTATTGATTGACATAGCTGCCTTTTCAGCAATACCACCCTGTTTTAATTACTGTAGCCTCATAATAGGTCTTGATCATGTAATGTAAGCTCTTGACATGTGTTTTGGGTTTTTTTTAGAATTGTTTTGGATGTTCTAGTTCTTTTACCTTTCTATACAAACGTTAGGATCATCGTAACAGTTTTTACAAAAATCTTGCTGGACATTTGATCAGAACTGCATTGAAACTGTAAATTCAGTCCACAGAAGAACTAGCATCTTAACAACATTGAGGTTCAGATCCATGGACATGGTGTATCGCTCTGTTAGTTAAGTCGTTACTTTTTCTCGGCACTGTTCTATAGTTTTCAGTGTACATGTCCTTCACATCTTTTGTCAAGGTTATCCTTAAGTACTTCCTTTTTTTTTTTTTTTGGAAGATTTTATTTTCAAGTAAACTCTACACCCAAGGTGGGGCTCAAACTCACAACCCAGAGATCAAGAGTTACTCCCTCCACTGACTGAACCAGCCAGGCACACCTATTTTTGCTGTTATTCTATCCAGTATTGTTTTTAAATTTCAATTCCTTTTTCTTGGGGGGGGAGGGGCAGAGGGAGAGGAAGAAAGAGAATCTTAAGCAGGCTCCACACCCAGGCCAGAGCCCAAATTGGGGCTTGATCTCACAACCCTGAGATCATGACCTAAGCTGAAATCAAGAAGTCAGACTCAACGGACTGAGCCACCCAGGCGCCGGGCCCCTGATTCTTAGGGGCAGAAAGCAGATCGGTACTTGCTTAGACACAAGGTTTCAGGAGGAGGTAAGGATGAATTACAAAGGGACCGGAGGAAAAGTTTGGGGGTGATAACTATGTTCACTATCTTGATAGTAGTGATAGTTTCATGTGTCAAAACTCATCAAAATATATACGTTAAATATATTCAGTTTAATGTATATTAATTATATCTTATTAAAACATGTGTACTTGAGCTCCAGGAACCTGTAAAAATAATGTGACCAGCTAATATATCCTCATGCCAGATACTGAATCGGATGCAACCTAGGTGTGGGGAGGGACCAATTTCACCCGTTATGGAGAGACAGGTAATAAGACGCTTATCCCTCTGTGGGTTTCCCAGAGATTAGGCTTCCATGTCCAGAAACCGGGCATCTCCAAAAGGTGTAATATAGAGGTCCCCCCTTATCATAGATTCCAAGATCCCCAGCGGATGCCAGAAACCACCGGTAGCTCTGAACCCTATAAATACTATGTTTTCGCTCTACATACATACCTATGACAAAGTTTAGTTGATAAATGAGGCACAGTAAGAGATTAACAAAAGTAAAACTACCACTAGAATTTTTTTTTCCTTCTTCAGTTTCATGGATACAAGATACGTTCTTACCACTGACCTTAGCAATTTCAGCATACATTTTTTTTTCTTTCCTTCTTAAGTAGAGAGCTTTCATCTTTACAGCTACTCTTTGGCATATCCGAATTGCCAGCATCATCGTTCTTGTGCTCTGGGGCTATTATTAAGTAAAATAAGGGTTATTTGAACATAGGCACTGTGATACAGTGACGAACAGGCCGGTGGGGTATTCGGTTGGGTCCGCTGGACAAAGTGATGATTCACATCCTGGGCAAGACCGAGCAGTGGGACATGCGAGATTCCATCACACTACTCAGAACGGTGCGCAGTTTAAATTGTATGGGTTGTTTATTTCTGGAATTTTCCATGTAACATTTCAGATTGTGGGAACTGAAACCACAAAAAGTGAAACTGCGGATAAGGGGGAGACATTGGTTCCTATACTGCTGGGAGAGATGGTAAGAGCTGAAGGAAGTTAGCAGAATCCTATAGTTTATATCCTGGGGGAGGCCTTCCCTCAACCCTTGGCAAAGGGTTTTCTGGCTGCAGCAAGTGGGGAATCCTTATTTTCAACTCACTCTAAGTTTTACGAAGGAAGGTTAACTCGCCTGAGTGTTTCTCCACAGGGTGCCTCCAAACCACAAATTCCTGATTCCTACTCTGGTTTATCCCAGTAAGAAGTAGGCTGATCCCTTAATCCCTGTTTAAAGGGCCCTTGTTTATTGAAGCTGTAAACTCTGGGCAAAGGGTCATAAATCACTCTAGCAGGATCCAGAGTGTGAGGCGGGTGCAGGCACACAGAGGTAATATCAATGTTGATCTCGTCTGTTTTCCTTGTAGGCATACTCCTGTGAGCCCCTGTGCTGGGCCAGATCCAGCTCTACTCTTCTCCACTCTGCTTGGTGCCTAGAAGGAGGGATGGAGACAGTACAGTATGATGCATCATCCTGGACCCCTCCCCCCACTCTTCCCACTAGGCTTGGCCAATGGAAGGCGCAAGTAGGAAATCAGAGGACCGGAGAGCTAGAGTCACTGGTGTCTCCCGGTGACTGGTTTCCTACCTAGAGCCACAGCTCTGGTCAGATGCCTCCTTTCCCAAGACTAGAGCACCCAACTGTTTGGGCCACAACTCCCTCCCCTTGTCCCTTCAGGTCTAGGGCTGATAACAGCTTCCCACTGGGTTCTTCACCCTCCCTGGCTGATCCTCCGCTTCTAGATCACACCGTAGTATGCCTATTCCTTCTTGAATTCAATTAGCCCTTCCAGTTAGCAATCCCCTCCCTGCTGCCGCTCTGACCCACACACCTTCATAGCCCCCAAACATGGTCCTCTTCTACTGTCTCTATCTCCCCAAAGCCCCCAGTTTGCTGATACACCCACGTTGGCCTTGGCTCTCCTTCTGTTTCTCTGATTCTTCCACCCCAGGCTCCTGTTTCCATCACTTGTCCTTTGGCCAAGTCAATGCTGATGACATTGCTCTGTCCAAAATGGAAGTCATCTCCTCTTCTGGAACACATCTCCTCTACTGTTCTTCCCTACTCATTTACTGTCATCACCACCCTCCCAGACACGAAGTCTTGAAAACTAGGTGACAGCTCACCTCTTCCCCAGAGAAACCCAAGGGGAGTCACTCACAAAGCCTCCCATATAAACACATTTTTAAGAAAAGGTGAAACCAGCGAGCTAGCTATGCAAATGTAGCCTCAAGGCAATCATCCCTCCATCACATTGTCCCCCTTAAATCCTTCCTCTATAGAGTTTCTGACCCCACCAGTGCCTCCTCCCTCCCCCCATTCCCTACATCCAATCATATTCCCATAACGTCCCAGAGGACAAGAATGTTCTCTTCATTCCTTTGTAGGCCCTCAGTGTCTCTCACCTACCGCGGGAGTCTCCCGATTGGTTTCCTCCCTTCCTCTTCGCCCCCATAATCTGGTCCACATAACGCCAGCCCCCAAAAGCGCAGGTCTGGGCAAAAGCCTTCAGTGGTTCGCTAGTGCCTGCAAAGGCCCATCCCCTCATTCGCTTCTCCATCGAATGTGTGAATTTTTATCAAAAGCTCTTAGTTAAAAAAAAAAAAAATTAATGCCTTCCTTGACTTCGAGTTTCAAAGCATTTATCTTCAAAACCCCAACAATGGCATTTAACGGGGAACTTCTAACTTTCTCCAGCGTCTCCGCTAAGGATCGCACTTCCCTTTGCCTGTCGGTACCTCGGCTGACATCGAAGCGGGATGGGAGGGGTGGCCCAGAGCCGCGGATAAACGGAAACAGAAACGGGTTTCTACCAACGAATACGTCCTGGCGGGTTCCAGACCCGGAGTTTTGGAGAGAAGGTGTCGGAAGGCTCCCACTGACCCAGCCCGGCGCCCCCGGGTCGGCGATCATCGCAAATGCGATGGGCAGGGCTGCAGGGCAGTGTCAGGACGCGAGAGGAAGCAGAGGGAACTGGGCGCGGGACGCTGACCCCGGCATGGGGGCAGCGCTTCCCGGGGCTGCGGCCGCCGAGCCGGTCCATCCCGCGCTCCCCCGTCCCGGCCCGAGCCGCGTACACAGGCAATTCCCAGGCGGCCCGTATTCCCCGCGGGAGGCCAGGCGCTCCGGTCCGCGTGACCCCCGCCCACCAGCCGGGACCCCGCAGCGCGGGGTGCGGAGAAGCACTCGGCTGGCGGGGAAGGGGCGGGGAGGGCGGTGCGCCGGGCGTCGGGGGAGGGGCGGGCGAGGGCAGGTCAGGGCAGCCCCGGCCCCGCCCTCCGTCCCGCCCCCGCCGGAGGCGGTTGGGCCCGGTGACTGACAGGCGTCCGGGCCGGTCACGGCGCGCCTTGCGGTCCGGATCGCCTGGGGGGGCGGGGCTCGCTGAGGGGCTCCGGAGGGGGCGGGGGCGGGCGGGGAAGCCTCTGGGTGGGGCGGGGCCTCGGGAGAGTAGCAGCGCCCCCAGCCAATGGGAGGCGGAAGCCGTCCCGTTAGCGCCGGATCCCAGCGGGTAGGGCGGGGCGGGCGGCGCCGAGGGGATCCCGGGGCGGCCGAGGGAGGGCCCCTGACTCGGCTCCGCGCGGCGACATGGACCGGATGGCCAGCTCCATGAAGCAGGTGCCCAACCCCCTGCCCAAGGTGCTGAGCCGGCGCGGGGTGGGCGCGGGGATCGAGGCGGCCGAGCGGGAGAGCTTCGAGCGGACTCAGGTGAGGACCGGGGGACCCCGGGGTATGCTTGGCTGGGGCATCCCGAGAGAAGCAGTGTCCGGGAGGGGCTTTGAAGGGAGTAGAGGTCTTCAGGCCCAGGGGAGGACGGGGCAAGGGGGCCACGAGAGGGAGCATCTGGTGCGCAGGGCAAGGCGAGCCTGAGGAGGTCGGGGACCCGGGGGCATCCCAGTTGGCCTGGGGAGAAGGGCAGGGCGCCTCCTAGAAGCTGGCACGATCCGTGCGGCGGGGCAGGGCAGGGGTCACAGGGGCTGTGAGAGCGGAAGGAACGGAAGAGGGGCCGAATGGAAGGGGTGCCCCTAGGCAGGGGAAGCGCACTGGGGAGCCACTCGGAGACGCAAGTGTGGCGGCGGAGAGCGGAGCGCTGGACTGGGATGTGAAGAGGGAACCCCTTTTCTCCCCTCTCGATCGCTTCTGGGTTGCATTGACATTCCCCCCACCCCTAGCACCCCCTTCCTGCTGCCTCTTGCTTGGCTCACACCACCCCCAGCTGTTGGCTTCCGAGGACCGGGCTGAAGGGGTCTGGGCGGCGAGAAGGAATGTAGGAAATGCGACGTGTGGCTGAGCTTGGAAAATGGGGGCTGGAGGAGGGGGCCGGCCAGGGGCCAGGGTCAGGCCTTTGGCCCGACAGCCGGCTGCTGGTCAGGATGAGCTCCCCAGTGGTGCCCAGAGCCCTGATTTGGGGTTTTGGTTTCATCCCCCAAGATCTGCCTGACAGCTAATAGGCAGACTGCCCTATTTGTCCAGCCTGACCAGGGCTGGGGGCCAAAATTCCCCAGTGGCATCAACAAAAAGCCACAATCCATTTTTACCTCAGAGTTTGAATGCCTGGTGTATTGATTTAACTGAATAAAGCTGACATGTTTCTGGTGTTCATCAGCTCGTTTGTATGCAAAATCCATTTCAAAGGGCACAGCACTTCTCTTAATCCCAGTGCCAAAGTTGTATGGGCAGATTTGTTCTTCGCTCTTGCGCTCAGGGTGGAACCTTTGAAGATCCAGCTGGGCCTCCACTGCCAGAGGCTGGTTCCCCTGCTGTGTTCTGCTTCCCCCCCCCCCTTCTCCTCACCATACGCAGTACAATGTCAAGGAAGGGTTTTGGGATTTTAGGTAGAAAAGATTGTGAGGACCTGACAAAATATTGTGTGTATGGAATCTTGCAAAGAGTAAAGCTTTTCACCCGGACAAGTCCATCCTCTTTCCAGATGCCTCTGGCCTGTTGCAGGTGTGTCTCGGTGATGGAAAGTAGGAAGCGGCCCCTCCCCGGGTCATCCTACCCCAGGGAGGGATGGGAACAATAAGAAAGACAACAATTCATTCGGCTTCCCAGGGACCAGCTGAGTTTGAGACTTTTTTCCTCTGGCTTTGTGGACTGGACTGCTGCAAAGAAAGCAGCTTTCCGTCTGCTTGTCCACCGTGGGTGTTAACTGAGGCTTCTTGCTCCAGAAGGCAGTGTGAATAGCCTTCTTCTTCCTCTTTTTTTTTTTTTAATGGAAAAGAAAAAGGAATAGACGTTATTTTGCGATAACCCAGCCTTTCTGGAGTCTCAAATAAGGAAAAACTGGAGCAGTAGAGGAATACGCATACAACTTTGACCCATTATAGCAATGGCGATTAGGTTTGTGAAAGCTTCCACCCAGGGCCAGCATGTCCCCTCGCTATCCAGGGACAGCCCAACGAGGAGACCCTAAGGCACTGTTTGCCAGTGTATTTTACATGTGGAACACTTGCAATTGGCTTGTTGGAGGGTGGGGTGGGAGTGAGGAGGAGGCAGGCTGGAGAAGGGAAAGAGGGTTTTTCTATTATTCAAACCGTAAGGGGCGGCAGGTGGGAGCGTGAAGAAAAGAGAAACAATCGTAAAACTTGGCATTGGTCAATCTGCAAAAGCTCATTTTGTTTGAGGACTTCAAATGTATCCAGTGTGTTATGAGATACAGAAATGAGTTAGAAAAAAATTTTAATGAGTTGAGAGACCATGAGAATCAGCCAAGGTGTAGTGATAATTGTAGCCAATTATCACTGTTTGGCACTGTTCTAAGTACTTTATTGTATTACCTTCTTTAATCCCTGCAAGGACCTAGGAGGTGGGTATCAGCCCCATTTTCTATGAGGACACTGAAGCACAGAGAGGTTAAGTCACCTGCCCAAGGTCACACAGCGGAAGTCCCAACCTTTAACCACTGCCTCGCGTTGCCTGTGAGTACCACGCAGAGCACTGGCATTGGAGCTGGAAAAGGTTTGAGTTTTATAGCCAGGCACATGGATAGGCTGTGTGACCTCGGGCAAACCTTTCTAAGGCTTCCGTATTGTAAAATAAAGATACTTACCCTGAAGGTTTAGTATGGGGATTAAATGAAATTATAGGTGTGAAGGCATTTTTGTAAACTTTGGAGCACGATTTCAGTGATTCTTGCTATAATCCAGGGAGACCTAAGGAAGCACAAATGTGAGTAATGGTGCAGGCTGTGGTGAACTCTTCAGTAGGGGGACAGAAATGTTCCTAGGTAATGTGATAATGACTGAGACCACATGCAGAAAGTCCTAGCCATGGGTGTAGGGAGAGGTTGGGAGCCATCACCAGGACCTAACCACCAATTGGCATGAGATGTCACTTGCAGGATGGAGTGGAGGGGAGGGGGCATTCCAGAAATGGGGACCAGTAAAGGAGACATCTGGAGGTGAATGCAGATGAGGCTCAGTGGCCCAGGTGGAGGCAGGAGCAGAAATT